TGGCTGGAATGAGCGGTAATTGGCAATTTCGTATGATTGAAAAAAAAATATTTTAAACCCTTTTCTCTTTTCCTAGGTCTTGGCCTGCTCTACCTGCCCACCTCCAGTCTGGCCTTCCTCACATTTGGCGCCTCCACCTCCCCGAACATCCTCAACAACCTCTCCTCCAATCTGATCACCACCATCATCGAGTGCTGCCTGCTGGTGCACTGCTTCAGTGTCATCTTCCTCCAGCTAAACGCCGTTTTCTTGGATCTAGAAGAGGCTCTCGCCGTGCCGCATCACTTCACCCCCAAACGGGTCATCCTGCGCAGCTTCATCTTCGGCCTGGCCCTGCTGCTCGCGGAAACGGTGCCCTCCTTTGGGTCGATCCAGGCGCTGATCGGCGGCACCAGCTTCTCCATAATGCTCGTCCTGCCGACGCTCAACTACCTCAAGTTGGTCTACGACCGAAGTGGCGAAAAGTGGCCCGAGCACAATGTTCCCCACTGGCAGAAGGTCATTCTGGGGGTGGTTGTGCTGAGTGGCCTGGGTGGCGGGCTGATGGCCACCTTTCTCAATCTGAAGAACTTTGCCTTCAAACAGTCTGTTTGTTTCGGAGACTAGATTAAGCTGATTTTAATGGATTTGTTAAATAAAGGGTTTGTTGTCTAATTTTTGCACAAAAAAATGACTACCACACAGCACACCGCTCTTTGGGGTTCATTTTTGAGCCAGCCGGACAGTGAAAGGCCTTCGCAAAGTCGGGCATGTTCATCAGCGGCACATTGACGCGAAACTGAATGGGCGCATGTGGATCGTACTGCAAAGTCCACTTCAGCATTTCCAAATTAATCGTTCCACACCAGGCATTGCCCCAGGATAGGAAGAACAGCTGCTCCGGAGAGTACTGCGGCAGGTCGGCCAGTCGGGCGGAGGGGCTGACCAGCTGACGGGCCTTGAACGCTTCCAGAGCGGTGTGCACGCCCCCATTGTCGCCAATGTTCTCACCCAGCCCTGATTTGCCGTTAACCTACATCAGAAACATAAAAGTTAAAACTTCCAAAAAAGTACTTCCGAAAGAAAGCCTTACATGCATGCCCGTCATCGGCTCCACCAGACTGCTGTACTG